TGAACGCGCGCTAACAGAGAATAAGGGCCGTCCAGGCCCTGTGTCATTTCAGCCTAAAAGCCATAAAAGAAGGGCCACTTTTAGGCCCTCATAAAATCGACCTTTCCTGAAACTTAGGCGCCAGTCTGCGCCAGACCAGGGCTAAGCGCAGGGCATTTTTAGGCCCGTTTCAAGACAACCTTTTTTTTTAACTTCAGCGCCAGCCTCTGGCACGATTCGGCATTGGCAAGAGCAGCCTCCCAGCTGGACCAGCACTACATAGTACTGGTCCACCCAGGAGGCAGTAGGCAGTCGAGGAGGCAGAACTCCGCAGGAGGCAGTCTTCAGACTTCGGCAGCAGCAGTCGTTAGAGCGCTGCAGTAGTAGTGGATAGGAGCAGTCTTCAGCGCTGGGCGCTTAGAGTAGCGTTATGGAGAGAGGAGAGTGACGGAGGCCAGAGAACTTACCAGTGGCGCCATCGCTCCAGCTTCGTCTTCAAGGTACCTACATCAAGGCGCTATCTTCACAGGTTACTGAGGTTAGTACCGGGCACTCAGAGAAAGAGAGAAAGGGAGTTCTTCTTCTTCTTCTTTCTCCTCCAAGTCCACCATCTCTCCCCTCCCCTCCAGCTACCTGACTTCTCGGTATCGACAGCCCACGGAGAGAGAGAGAGAGAGAGAGAGAGAGAGAGAGAGAGAGAGAGAGAGAGAGAGAGAGAGAGAGATTTGTGACTTCGAGATTTGACGACATTTGGATTCTGACTCGACATTGGATGGGGGATTATTTGGGATCTATATAGAAGACTTCGTGTTGACCACATCCTCATCCTCCCCTTCCTCTTGGTCTAATCCCCCTCCTCTTCATCTGCGTGTGATCGGAGCCTGGCACATTCTTCTTGTGTGTAGCGCCAGCCTCCAGGCCCCTTCACACCTTGGCACCTTGCGATGATGATGATGTATGTCTGGTCTGCATCGCGACATTGATTGTCTGATCATTGGTATTTTAGCCTTCCGCTTCGATATCCTGTACTATGTGAGAGAGGTCTGTTCTTGTTCTGGTCTATACCATTACGGTATGCAACACCGCTCTTCCAAAATTTATAGCGGAGAATGCATGCGCGAGATAACCGGGATCAGACGAGGGGTAAAGAGGAAGTGCCTGCAAGCTGCATACTTGGACCGTCATGTGGGGGACTTGGCCACGGTCCACACATCTATCCTGGAGAAGTAAAAAAATGCACGAGCGCCGAAAAGAGCAGAGGGGAAAGGAAAGGTAGTTACACCCTAAGATCAAGAACAGGAACAATTTCGGGTGACAGTTGAGAACGGGATTGAGGCGCAGCGAAAGAGAGCATGAAAGACTGAGCGTGCGAGCAAGAAGCAGAGTTCAGGTACACCTTGCACCCAAGCAGAAAAGAGCGGGCCTAAAATCCTATGGTAATTGAAGTCCTAATTCCAAAGAAAAATCCCGATTGTATGTGTGTGACTCTGCGTGGCCTACGATAATTCAAAATTTAAATGGCAGTCCGTGCGGATCGCCGGGACAAAATTTCCCACCGAATGAGACAAAAAGGAAAAATAAAGACGCTCGCCATTGTGGTCCGGTAGCCCCCAGGCCTGAGAAGTCCGGAGTTGCCCACTCGCAATTTTCTGCAAGGCAGGGCGGCTTAAGGGAATTCTCCCAAGGAGTCTCGGGCTCCACTGGATTCTGAGTTTTCTTTTTTTTTCAAATAAATTCCACATTGGCAGTTGTGAATAGCAGGCATTACCCACGCCTGAAAGTAATGAGGGCAGATTGTTGCAGTACTGTCTGGAGTAGACTGTGAGGTCTGTCCAAGTTCAGTCCAACTCTGTTTTTTTTATTGGGAAAATTTGCATCTCTACGAGAGATGGTTAACGGGGTTTAGGGGGGCCCAATATTCGCCGTACAATATGGCCCCGTAGTGCGAACATCAAAAAAAGAAAACAGGCCAAAGAAAACGAAAAAAATAACAAAAAAACACTATAAAACCCTAACACAAAAACACTGTCGGAGTTAAAATGAAGCGTTCAACAAATTCAACGAAATGCCAACTTTTTCATTATTGATCCAAACATGTCAAAACTGGGCACATGACGTACCCTAAAGCACATATATATCACGCAAAAAGAAAAACAAGAAAAAAAGCAAAAAATCAGCACAATGTGACAGTTTCAGTGCAATTCGGTGCAAAATTCACCAACAATGACGCCCCTGGTTAACCATATGTGATCTCTACCCCAGGTAAAGATGGGAATTCCCACTATACTCAGTCCCAGTGCCAACTTGCATCTATACCTGGAAAACGACTGGTGGAAATTATTTGCATGCCGAGGACTGAGGTCGACCCAGGTTGGTACCGCGAAATTGCACTTATAACCAACTACCGGAATGCACAAATTATGGACATACCCAGGCAAAAATTTCCCAAAATTATGGGCATACCCGGGACTGAGGTGGAGGAGACTGGGATGGAGGGAGTTGGGGTGGATGCGATTGGCGCCAACTATTTTGGCGGGTACCAGCCACTTGCTACTGACTCCACCTGGAACAACTTGTGGTTTTTCGTTTCTATGATGGAGGCAGGATCTTTTGGGTTGATTGAACTTCCAGGGGTTGCATGTTTTTCCATATTTTCCAAATTTTGACCTATCATCAAAGGCCCAAAGGGTGTCCCTGCTCAGTTCATTCCCTGGTTTCCGGGGTTATCAACTTATCAATGGTGGCAGGGGGAGGTCTTCTTAAATTTTTCTCAAAAAAGAGGTGAGTGGAATAAGTAGATAGTTGGATATCAAGTGTCATACTAGTGAGGGGGCTAGCTCATAGGATGGAATTAGGGTACAGCTGCTACTACAGCAGTAACAGCAGCAGCAGAGATGGTGTCTCTTCTGCAGTAAGTCTTGCCGGAGTGAGATAAAGAGGATTGACTGAGTCGTGTTCTGAATTTTGGCTTTTTCTGAAGATTGTCGTAGTAATTTCCTAAGTAGCTCAAATTTTTCTTAGCCACAGCTGGGTAATGGCCCCGGTATCTTAAACTTTCAAAATTCTATGTAAATTTCCATATGGGACGCTGGGCCCCGTTCCCAGCACGTGCTGCTCCCCACGAATAGATTGAAGCCTTGTTCCCACAAAAAAAAAAAAANAAGAGGTGGACACTGGACAGGTCAAATTATTCATATACCGAACTACCAGATGGCTGAAATTAAGCTCATACCCAGCAGCCATTGGGCCACAACGGTCCACTTGGTGGGCACAAGCATAATTTCGTGGTACACCCACTGACACAATTTTGCCAGCCCGATTTTTGGCCACGAGTAGCCCGGTTTCTGGGCATGAGCATAATTTCGCTTTCTGGACCAAAGGCCCTGCGAGACTGGGTATGCCCACAATTTTGCACAGGGGAAAAGTTGGGTACTATGCAAAGTTGAACGGGTTCCGGGTATAGATGCAAGTTGGCTCTGGGACTGAGTAAGAGGGGTACAAATGCAATTTTCCCTTAAATTTTGTTTTTCCACAGTTCAGGGGTGTATCAACTGAGCTAGGCCAGTTGGTTGTCCAATTCTGTTCTTGCCCCTGACTCATGTTTTTGATTAGAAACTACGGATGTCCCAGCATATAGCCAAATTCTCTACTTTATTTTTCCATTACTGGACGATTGCAGCATCTTCCCGAAATCAGTGGACTGTGAAGTATCACTGATTATTACAAGCTTTGTGCCTTTCTTTGTTTGGGGTCAATGAACAATCCATATTTGTTGGAACTTGGAAGGTATTTTGGACTTCAGTTGCCCCTGATTGGATAGTCAAATTCCTTTAACCAATGGGCATACCTCATAGGGTACACCCATCAACTGCTGTAATACACACCTGAGTTCTGATGTAGATGTACCTCAGGTCCTAAGGGTGATGAATGACTCAGAGATGTCTGGGGCCTGTCAGTTGCACAATGTTTCAAGGCAGTTGCCTCATGAAGAGAGGAGAAAAACCAAAAAAAAAGTTTAATTTTTTTCTTCATGCATTTCCAGCAAAGGGCAGACGGAGTAGCGTTGAGGAGAAGGTCTATGGCATGGTTATGACGATGCCTTATGTACGATGTGGTTACGGTGTTATATTTCTTTAAACCTCTGACTACATTGTAATTTTGAGTTTCTCTCTCTATCTCCAGCTTAGGGCTGGACCCCACAGCCTCGCGGTATCTTTGCAGCTGGAAAGCATCGGCCAGCACAAACAGTAGCCGCTAAGTAGCCATAGGGAATGAGCAAGAGAGAAGGGACTCCACTGCCATAGCAGATTAGCCGTTGGGAATGGGCAAGAGAAAAGGGACTCCACTGCCATAGCAGATTTGCCTGCTTTCAGCAAGGGATGGCTGAATCAAGACCCTTGCCTCGGGGCTACCATGTTGTTTTGCCACAATATTTTGGAAATTGGAGTGGCACCGAGGAATTTCCTATCATGACCGTATGTGAAAACGTCCGCCCAAAGTTTTCGTGGCCGCTCCCTGCAGCCTGTGGGGTCGGAAAAAAACCCTCTGCGCCAATCCATACCCTTGTCCGCACGCCTCTGGGGTCCAGACCTTATGCTCAAGACGACCTTATCGTCTCCAACACTAGGTTTCCAAGGCCCGCCAGCAGAAGTCGTTTTGCTTCGAAAGAACCATTTTCATAATAAAAAAGGAAGATAGAAGAACCTGGGCAAGTGGGATCTGGGACTTCGCCCACGGACAGCCCAGTATTTATGAACATTTTTTTGAATAGCTCTTACGTGGCATAGACAACTACAACGGCCCCTGCATTCCCCCCACCTTCCACCTACGCCGTCCGTCTACCTCCTCTCTCTCTCTCTCTCTCTCTCTCTCTCTCTCTCTCTCTCTCTCTCTCTCTCTCTCTCTCTCTCTCTCTCTCTCTTCCGTTAAAGGTGAAGGTGAGTGTTCTTGACCGCTCACCTCCTTTCTCCTCGTCTGAGGTCCGAGCCTAAAGGGCGGCAAGCACACTTGGTGCGGAGGTGTGTCTCTCTGCTGTTCTCACTCTCTGCGGTGAATGCAGCTCGAAGTTGGCAGATTCCGGCAAGTTCTGTGAAGAGGACTGCCTGCAGTGCCTGGTGGTGCATTTCCTTCGCGATGACGGGTTGCACGTCGACCGCGGCAGTGGAGATGTATCTGACGGTGGCTTTGTTGCTGTGTGGCACGTGGCTTGCACCTCTTCTTTCGGCGAATGGCGATGCCGCGACCGACTTCCTGAAGCAATACACGGACCCGAAGGTGTCCCACATCCAAGTGAGCGGCGACGTCTATCTGAGCGACGACTTGCCGCTGCTGTCCCGCAGTTTGACGATAGTCGGAGTGAAGCAGACGGGGGGCCGTCTGCCAACCCTCGATGGGCGAGGCAGTTTCAGCGGGATCGTGACCAGCGCAAACCTGACGCTCCAGAGCTTGGCATTCACCAACTTCAAGACGTCCACCACGGAGGGTGGTGCTGCAGTCTACGCCTACGGGGGAACGCACGTGTTGATTGATAAGTGCGTGTTCCGGGGCAACCGGGCGATGAGCGGCAGAGGGGGCGCCGTTAGCCTCAACGACGTCGATTTCTCAATGACCAATTGCACCTTCGATCGTAATGGTGTCAGAATCATCTCCGGCTCCGACATTGACGTGACGGAGGGCTTGAAGAGCTTCAGCGGCAAGACATCCACGAGCGGACAAGCTGGCAAGGGAGGGGGGCAGGCGGAGCGGGCGACGCAGGGGAGCCAGGATGGGGCCGATGGGCAGTGGGGCCAAGTCGCCGGTGATGGGGAAGTGGGGGCCGAGCCCGCCGCAGGCGCGGAGACTGCCACTGGAGGGACGACGGATAACCCCGTTGGGCCCGCTCAAGTGAATGAGAAGACGAACAAGCAGGACGGTATTCATGGCGGAGCAGTGGCTTGCAGCGGTTCTGTGTGCAACATAGCGAGATCCACATTCACGAACAACTTCTCCAGCTAAGAGCATACTCACACTAGGACTTTCTTACGTATTTATGCACGTAATTGCGTTCACATGCATCCGGGTCGGGCCATAAATCCGGTCAGGTACATGCATCCAGGTGATTGCCACAATGCCATTAACGTCTCTTCTTCGTAATCTGCCGTTACAGGGAAGAGACCGGTTAGTTACGTTTCCCTGTCATTCGTTTTTTTTTTTTTTTTTTTTTTGCTTTGTTTGAACTAAGCCACCTTCTTCTCTCAAATTCACCTTTAAAAGTCTTTTTTTCCCCTTTTTTTTTAGCTTCGTGAGTCGGTCTTTGTCTTCCGCCAACGAACTAGCCGTGATGATTCAAATTTTCCCGCCCCTTGAACCTCGCCTCGTATTCGGCTATGGTAGTGTATCTCGCGAGCGGGGACGATCCAGTGGAAATGTAAGCAGGCGGGCGTACGAGCTCGAGTGCGTGTGTGTGTGTGTGTGTGTGTGTGTGTGTGTGTGTGTGTGTGTGTGTGTGTGTGTGTG